TGCTCACGGCCGATCGCGATATTCGAGAGTGCGGACAGTCAGCGGCAGTCGTACCATCGCGTGGGGCGTCCTGCCAGAACAGGAGAAGATCAGGGGCGTCGGGCGGGAGCAGCATTGACGCGGGGAAAAAGGAGCGAAGTACGGCTTTCGGGGAGGGGAGGGGAATTGAATTGCCGCTCCGCCATGGGGGTGACCGTGCTGAGACGAATGGCGACCAAGCGCACTGCCCAGCAAGATCCAGCTCAGAAAAACAAAAGCGCAGGACGGGGAATGGAGATCCGCGTGAACATTTTGAGGCGTCGAATGGACCGGTCCTGTTTTGGTGCGGCCCTGTCGCTGTGGGGTGGTGGAGACGGAAAGGCCGGGCTACGGGTCGGCGACGTCTATGCGCGTCAGTATCTGGCAGCATGCGCAAGTTCGTGTGTTTCTCGTGCATTCGCTTTCGTCTGTTATTGTTGTGGGTGGGGGATATGTGCACGTATGGGTATCTGTTCTTGCGCTGGGAGCCACGGACCGGAGGGGTCTGTGTTGGATCGTGGGCACTGGGCTGATGGGCTCGTCGATGGAAATTCGAACAGAAACCCTGGGGCTGGATGTGGGACAACTCAAACCGTGGGCCCAAAACGCAATGGGACACGCGTGAACCTATCCCATCCCACGCCATACGCAAGCGCTCAGAGCTAGATACGCCGGGTGGAAAGAGAAAAGATTGTAGAGGAGGCCAAGATGGATGGTAGCAAGATGAGAAAACGGCAAGCCTGCCTGCCCGCCTGCACATAGCTGTCCCAGAGGCCCACGAGCGCTTGTTGATATTTTGTGGATTTGCTTCTGAAATCGCACAACTAACAACCAGTCCAATCAGAATGGGCTCTGGGAGGGGGGCCTCTGAATTTGCGGCTGGCGGAAAGAACTGGCAGGTTTCGGGCTCACACCGACTGCTGTGCTGCATTCATGTTCAGGAACATTCCTGATGCAAGTCCATTCAACAACAGGCCCCTTGCCAATCGAATAGCTGATCGATCCACTGACTTATGAGAGTACAGTAACAGCACGAAATTTGTAAAGACATAGCCTGGGAGCAATTCATTGATGGTGCAGTTGTGATGCCACTGCTGCCAGCGACCAGGAAACAGCGCATTAGACAACGTAGCTGTATAACAAAGCATTGGACAGTTGATGCCTTTTCTCCGATTTGCTGTTTCAAATGCTCCTGTGTGGTCCTGTTAGCAGTGGGTTGAAACCCATGGTGCAAAGGACACCTAAATCTGCAGTAATCTGTGCACTTTCAGGTGTTTTGAACGTGTGTTCATCCTTTACAGAAAGACACCCGATACAGAATGTAACCTTCTTACTGTGAAACCACAGCAAGTTCATGTGACATGTCACCTCCTGTTACTGTTATGTTTTGCCTGCCTGGAGATGTGATCAACGAACCTGTACTTTTGCCCATCATCATTTACCCAAATGCATGAATAAAGCAACTGACGGCAGTCTACCATCAGTCACGGCAGTATTGAATGAGCGCCACTGACAATGGGACGTCCCAGTGGTGCACATCTCGTATAAGCATGTAAAAGCATAATATTTTTCACCCCTGCTGCCAGTTGTCCTGTCTTCACTCTGTTTGCTGGAGTGGCATGAGCCAGGGAGGGCAGAACAGCCTGCTTCCACACTGTGACTGCTTGGCATTGAACTGCTTGTGCAATCCCCCATGTCCAGTCACGTTGTTCATTGACCTGCTCTCAACCTTCACAGTGTTGGGCCACAGTATGACAATAAAGTTGAGACATCGTATATAATGAAGTGCTCTACACACGCCTCAAAAATGCAACTGCACAAACACATATGCACACAGGCATCACGGTCATCAAGTGGATCTGCCCAGAACCGATTGTCAAGGGTGCTCTGACTGGCTGCACAGCATTGAAGTGCAGTAAACAACATCCAGGTTGCAAATTTTCCTGAAGTTCTTCGCTCTGTTGTGGCTGCAGGGCACACACTGCGGGAACCATGGTGGGTGGATGGGGGGCACTCATGCGAGCTGCTTACTGGGCCTGCCTCATGGCCTGCATCGCCGGGACCACTGCATATGTGGAGGGTGACTGGGTTGCGGCCCATGCAGCTGCAAACGACGCATCGGGTTTCGCCTTGCCGATCGTGATGGTGGGAGGCAGCGGGGACACGAAGATGGCGGAGGACTACATGAATGGAGGTGTGCTGAAGACAATCTCGGTGTTGGCTGGCCCCCAATCTATCCTCCAGATCAACCTCACCTTCTCCTCAGGGGCTTCAGCAAGCTTTGGTACACTGCCTGCTCCCCCACCGCCCCCGCCGCCACCATACATCCCCCCTGTGCCTGCTCCGGCCCCCTACATTGCCCCAACCCCTGCACCCACCCCGGCGGCAACTCCTTATGCTGCCCCAACACCCACCCCTGTGGCCCCAACCCCTGGCTCATACATGCCCCCTGCCCCGGCACCGACACCCTCCGTGATCCCGTATGTGCCCCCTACCCCGGCTCCTGCCCCGGTGGTCACACCTGCCCCGGCGCCATCAAATGGGTCCTATGTGCCTCCCGCCCCAGCCCCTACAGAGATCTCGCCAGCTGCCACCCCCTCCTATGTGCCGCCCGCCCCAGCTCCTGTTCCGGAGGTGACGCCAGCCCCTGCACCATCTTACGTCCCCCCCGCCCCGGCGCCATCTTATGTGCCCCCCGCTCCAGCCCCATCAAATGGGTCCTACGTCCCCCCTGCCCCTGCCCCATCTT